CCCCCCCCCCCCCACGGCCTATCTAATAGAATTCAACCAATCAAATAATTGACGGAGAACTTTTGCTTGACTTGCAAATAATCGCGAATCAAGGCAATACAATGCTTATTGGAAAATCTCATTCAACCGGAAGATATCGTAAAAGCTACTTGATAACGAATAATTGTAAACCAAAGGTGTTGCAGAACTATCAAAGAGAAAATCTAATTGTTCGCAAATAATCGCCGCTAGCAGATACAAAATAATGCAAAATAACTGCAGAAAGTGGATAGATAAATAATCACGAATCGAAAGAAACTACAATCATCGGAATACGCTCGTTGTTGAATAATCGCATATCGCAAACCGGCTACTAAGGGAATTCGAATTCCCTCTGCAATAACTGCAATAATCGCGAACTGAAAGCACTAAGAAAAAAGAATAAATAAATCTGTCTGAGCGCGTGGAATTAACGACGAATAATCGTGCGAGTACGGATTGCGAAAGCTCTCCGTGCTCACGGTCGGTCGGGCAATAAACACCGAACATGCGGATCGAATTCGTGCGTATACGTCACATTGCGTTGCGTGCGTTGCGTTGCGTGCGTTGCGTTGCGTGCGTTACGTTGCGTTGCGTCGCGCTGGGAGAAAGAGTGTGAGAGAGAGAGAGAGAGCTTTGTGTATGAACTATGACGGGGAGAGAACCCTTCCCGCATGTTCCGTACGTACCGTACATCCGCGCGTGTGGCGTTATACACACGGTGTATAACGCGACAGAGCAGCTGTCAAAAATCGATATCGCCTTAACGGCTCGACGGATATGTACGGTAAACGCCGCAAACGGGCGAGAGCGAGCGAACATTCACGGCGACTAGTCGAAAGGGGACTCGAGAGAAAATCAATACGGGGAAATCCTCTCTCTCGCCGAATGTTTTCCCGGCGTGTGCCTCCTCGTCCTCGTCGTCGTCGTCGTGCATGTGCTACTCTTACTTATATCGATCTTTCTGCGTCTTTATCTTCCTCTGACTCTCCCATGACGAGTCTCCTCGCGCACGTTTTTCTTTCGTTGCCGTCTTTGCGGTCGCATCGCGATCCTGATGCCTTCACCGACGGAAGGAAATCAACTTCTGCTTTGATGAAACGAGTTCAATTGCCTTTTTCCGCGATGTCTCTAAAGTCCAGCACACACTGCAGGTGTGATTCTATCGGCGTTAATTTCGAATCGATTTTATGCCAACGAATAAAAAGAGAATTATCGTCTATCGTGATTTCAATTTGTTAATTAAAATTTTTTTTATTTACGAAAATTTAAAGTAAACCGACACATTTTAATTGGTACTTTTACTGTACAATATATATGTAACTCTGTACACATGAAATTCTCTCGTTATGTACGTATGATGTATTCACTTGCGTCGTTTAAGCTCTACAAAAAGTAGATTATATCCAAAGCATATTACGTAACTTAATTACCAGCCTTTTTGTGAAATACAATTATTACATAATAAAATCAAAAATCAATTTTACTTATATTTTAAATAATATATAAAAGCGGGTAATGAAATAAATTTAAAATGCAACAGAGAAATTTGATATTCAAAAACGTCGCGTTAATTTTATTTGATGAAAGCTCTCACGAGTCGAGCTATCGTTAAATCTTACCTCTATTAAACATTTCCATGGTGGAAGATTTTTTAATGCTGGCTCTAATTTCTTCTCTTACTTCGGCAATTCGTCGGAAAATATTCATCCACGACGAGCACTCCTCCGACGAGCATTCGGTCCGAGGTGGAACGACGCGATTTCTCAAATAAGACCGGGGACAATAAAAACGAAACGGCAAATCTCGCGGATGAACGCACGTGCGGAGAGCCAGTTTCTTGTCCGTTCGCCGGTGAAGATCGCGCCGAACTGAAGCGAAGCGAACGAACCGTACAACCCAAGTACATAAACTACGAGGGTTTTCTAGAGGCGGTGAGTCATGTTGGCTCATAGCCAATGAGTGAATTTGTGGATGCTACTCGTATGCATGTACTCGGGACGCGCAACCACCGTGGGGTCAAGCCGATGACCCTGAGGCAAAGCGAAACTCGCTCCCCAGCGAGGTACTGTCTCGTGATACAATGACGAATCGATTGGAAAAAGGGTTGCTACTGAAGAGAGGCAAAAATGAGAAGAGAAGCCAGCTTTTTCCAAATGATTAGCGGCAAATTAATATGTAAATGTTTACGAAAAGATACAGGCGCGTTATACAATTCTCTAATTTGTAGAAGATATATATTTGATCGTGTAATTCCCGCAGTTTACTTAAAATTTAAGGCACTGCACAATGGCTGCTTCCGTAAAGCCAAATTACAGAAGGTGCAACTTAGAATTGGCTCAATTCATGAATGTTCCACTCGTTCCGTTTCTCAAGACTGTCTAGAAATTTAACGATTTACTCTATTTAAGCACAGGCTTGAAAGAAGAAGATTCGGAAGATGATGAAAACGATTCGTACTCTGTGTAAGTTCGGTAAAATTGGAGGGAGGGGGGGGGTTGAGTTTCTGTGAGTCTCGTATAGAGTGACTCATCTAATTTTTCATGACCCAGAATAATTAATTCGTAGACATAGAGATAAAAAGCAGTTAAAAACAATAACGAAAACCGCACACCGTTTTTTTTTCTTGGTGCACCCCAACGCGGTGACGACTGGCGTAATAAAACCACCGGCGCACAACTGTGTCAGCGAAGATTTCCCATGATCCGTATATTACAACTATTCAGACATTCGAAAATCACACGCATACAAATTCTACGAAATGCATCGTAGTGACGTATACATTTTTGCCAATTATTCTAACAGATGATTTTAATTAATTTTGAAATTCATTTTAATTTAGCGTGTGTACGTATTTCATGGCTAACGTGGCACAGCAAATCGATATTTGACAAATAAGTAAATTGACCAACGTATGAAGTAATTATACAATATTTTAGGTATTAGGCATTAGGCAACACTATGAAAATATAGGTATATTCGCGGTATGAACGTGTCGATCAATATACTTATTTGGCAAATATCGTTTCGCTGTACCATATAATTTGCCATGAAATATGTATGAATACGCGGATTAAATGCTAATAATAATCGACAAAAATATTTTAAGATTAGAAGAAAAAGCTGTCGCGACTTAACTAAAAATATTTTTAAACAATATAACAACTGATTTCATTATACGAAATAACAGCAATAATGTACATTTTTTTTTACTTATTTAAATAATTATTTTAATATATATATATAAATTTATATTATAAATTATAAATTCTCCTACTGTAATTTCCAGAATTAATTTTCAATAAACAAATTCGTTTGCTCATTCATGTAAGGCATTTAAAATGATTAATAAACAAAATGAAATTTTAACGTAAAGATAGTAAAAAATATATTAAACTAAAAATAAAAAGTATTAATTTAATTTTTTCAATTAATAAGTATAATATTATATGCTTTAAGATGTAACTTTTCTTTAACAAACTAGCCTCATGAAATAAGGTCTCATACTAAAAGACACGCAAGTTACGGGAAGAGAGAAGCGAAGACGGCATCCTTGTTTTATTTAATGCACGGATGTCGGCGGGAAGTGAGGATTACTCATACACTGGACGTAAGCCAATTTTACACGAGACGCGACTCATTAAGTCGCTGTCGCAACCGGTACGTCGCGTTTAAGTGCCGCTCGTTGTTACCGTTGCAATATGTATAATCCGGCACGATCATACGTAATATTTGTCGTCATTTACTTCGATTTGCTATATTGAGTATTAAAGCAATAAGTATTAAGATAAGTATTATTGTGCTATCTAAAGCCGTCTCATTTTCTCTCTATGTATTACGATATCAGAATCAAAGATTAGATCAAATATAAATAAATTGCCTATGTACGTAATTTGCCAATATACACGAGCTTGCGCTTCATAAGACTTATATGTATGTAAGCAATTTACTTATATTTGATATAATCTTCAATTCGCAAATTTTTACAATTAACTTTGTTTATTAGTATTTATTGTTGATAAATATAATATACTACGCACAACAATTAGGGGATCACTTTAAAACCTGCATTTTGTCGATATTTAAGAAACGGTATCTCCACTTCCAGAGACTGCAAGATAATTTTTCTGAGTGCGTTTTAAAGAGTAAAACTTCTACTTTGAAACAAATAATATGATATTTGCCATCAAATGATCTTTTTCGCGAAGACCAGAAGCGGGTTGTGTTAAAATTCTGAAAATTTCACGACTTTCCAATTTTTTAGGGACAAAGCACGACTGAAAAATGTTTTATTACATACATTTTTAAAGTTTGAAACTTTTTCTTTTAAATAAGACCTTGACCATTACTCTAACATGCCTAGAAACTGAATTCATCAGCTTCTAAAGGGAATCCTACATTTTGCAAGATTTTGGGTAACTATCGCCAGTATTCGTTACCCGATATGCACCACGGGGAGGCTGTTCTTGGTCGGAATTTGCACATCATGTGCGTGCAGCGTGCGTAACACAGTCAGAGATAAAGACAATGCAGCCAACGACATTAACAGAATTAGAGAGAGCCCTTCAGGAAATTTGGCAGGAAATTCCTCAACATGAAATGAACAGATATACCAGTATGAGAAACAGACTACTCGAGGTTATTCGCCGAAGAGACGGCAATATCTCATATTGAATTAAGTCGCGTACACACGCACGCACTTCTCAATCTATAATTATGATTTGATACGAGCTTTAAGAAATGAAGCAAATAAACGATAAAGAAATTAAAATCAAAGTTATCTCTCTGTTATATTCAATATTATGGCAACATAGTACTTTTCGAAAAACTTTTACCGATTTTTGTGCTGACCAAAAGTACAATATTTTTTAAATAGATTCTCACAAATATTTAATGATAATATAACCAATTTTATACCAATAAATTCAGCAATCCACTTGAAAAAAATTCTGTTACTGAAAAATAGATCTGATAAAGTTCTCAATTTCTAAATGGAATTTTAAGCAACGCAATTTTCAACGCTGCGACTGACGGGAAAATAAACGCTATATGAATTCGTTTTTATCGTCAAATAATAAGTACAGAAGAAATCAGTTCTGTAATTACAGCATCAAACTCTAAACTGAAATGATTATATTGGATTTAATCAATATTCAATATAATTACTGATGTAAAAAATATCATTTTTGAAATCAGATGTACGAAAGAATCTCTTTTACCATACATCTATTATATTTACGGTTTTGTGTGTTCCGAAAAGTATTTAGAAATTAAGACACACGAACATCCTGTGTTGGCTCATATATAGGCATTAATATACAGCAGTAGATTCAATCTATTGAGCCTAAAATTATCACATTTATTTAAATTACATTGATAGAAACGGGAATTAGCCAAGTAAAGTTTCGGTCGATCCAATACTCGACGCCGCAGAATATCTTTACTTCGTGTGCGCGAAGATGCTTCTCGCGTCGGTCGCGACGTCGTCGCGAGTCTGCTCGCGATGAACAAGGAATAATTTCTAATTTAAGAGTTGGTTGAAAGATTATGTCACGGTTTTCCAATCCTCGGGCGATGCGGCTCACATTCGTTACCTTTCATCGATGTCACCTGCTGCGGGCCATAGTTCCTCGAGCACGGGAACGACTTCGACGACCTCGACCTTCGACACTCGACCGTAGACGCGTGTCCGACGGATCAACGGTCCGTAATCCGTGTATAACGTTGAGGAGCGGCGGTTATTTTCGAGAAATTACGCGCGGAAGTAACGTCGCCACGCGATGCCACTATCTCGGATACACGTGGTTACGCGAGGGCGAATCTCGGGGTCATAACAAAACGACGACCTCGCCGGTCAGCCGCACGGCCATCTTGCTACTCTTATCACTCTTCCCTCTTGTCCTCTCCCTCTTTTCCTCCATGCCTCTTTCGCGCTTTCACCCTTACTCCTTCCGTCTCTCTTGAGATACCGACGGATACCGACGGACACACCGACGCATCACTGTGTAATCGATATTATTTCACCCTTTCTGTGGATATCGGTAACGAAGCTACTCCACTTACCCGTTTTCACTTTAATTAACAAGGGGATGAGAGAAAACTTATATTAAAAATGCGCAAAGATCTCTTACTTGTCCGATAAAATTAGAAAGTCACGTGTGGCTTTGAACATTAATTTTTATTAATTTAAAGTGTCAGGCATTGTAATTTTTAATATATTTTTAACAAGTATATATAGAGAGTTCTATCTGCAATGGGGTTGCGAAAATTGGCAAGTCGTTGCCCCCGGTTGGTAAATCCGGTTCACGGGGGTTGGTAGGATGTACCTTTCACGGAGGGATGTTTTGATGTCCGTCGGTAAAGTCAGATATACGAGGATAAGAAATGCGCGGGGTTGTAGAAATGGGGTCGATTCGTCGTCGGTAAAAGATACGTCCGTGCAATGTCAATGTATGGTATCAAACAGGGATTCCCGAAAAAGGGAAGTGATAAGATGGAACATTTCCAGAATCTATCAGTATCGCGTATCGTTGCCAACTCCATTTGAATGGGGGTGGAGATTAACTCGCAAAAAATTTATATAAGAATATGCACTTTTATTCATTAATTTAGCATAAGACTTAAAAAAGCAAAATTTGTGGGAACATAGAGACGTAATGAAATAAATCTTACATTTGTCCTTTTGGAATTTACGTTTCATGCGCGTTGAGTATATATGTGTATGTATTTCCATTCTTGAGATATCAATATGTTTGCTCACCTTGTCTTCAGCTTCATCCGCCCTGCCCTCCGCCTCTAACACCCGCTGTTCGAGCTCCGAGAGCTGAAACAAAAAGTAGGATTGTTTTAGTGATACGTCACTTCACGCAAGATTGATGGCGTTTTGCGAGATAGACAATCTCGATTTTTAACCATAATTCTGTCTGGGCTCGTCAATGTTAAACGCTGCATTGTTATTTCATAACATCTCTCTCTCTTTCTGCAATTATTATTACTATTCTTTTCTACTACTTACTATACTATTCAATTATTATTACTTATTCTGTCATTTCAGTTTCTTTTATTTTTAATACAAAGTCACTTGCTTATTTAAATTAGAAGAATTATTCGCTTTCATTTCTTCTCTTATGACATTATCAAGAACGGGTGTCAAGAACCTTCAATACATCGCGATAATGCATAAGAAATTTGACGTTCTTGAAATCGGAGAAAGTTCGACAGACGTACAAGTTATAGTTCGATGTCTAATTTCGCGAGGAAAAGTTTCGTCAAACTTGGTTAAGTGCACAGAGACGTACTGCTGACTCGATGACAGTTTAATGGAAACGATGAAGTTAAATCGGACTCGAAGATTGGCTCCATCTATCAGAAGATTGATATGCCTATATAAAATAACAATTTCGAAAATCATATCCAAAGGTATCTTACACAATTTGCCTTAATTTTAGTACCAAATCCTCCGACCAATTTCAAGTCAATCTTCGAATCTAAGAATTTTAGTTGGACTTATTACAATTTAGAACTAAAATTACTCTTTAATTACAAAAATATGAAGTTGTCGAAAAATTATTATAGCAGATTATATAATAAAAATTCGTAAAATTTTTAATTTTAAACAAAATTATCTATAATTAACGTTATTATAATATTATTGATATTGAAAAGTATTTCGGACAACTTTCGTTAATTTTCAAAATTTTAATGTTACTCTCTTTTGTATTATGTGCGTATGCGTGTATCCCAAATGTAATCTTGTTATTTGAAATCCCACGATTTCTACGCGGCACTTCGCTGCACCGTGATATCGCCGGAGCAAATGAATGATCGTCAGCTCCGCTACAATAACAAGAGCAGTCAGCGAATATAAAGAATCCGTGGTTCCTCCTCGCTCGGACGAATAAAGTGGCCGTGTAGCGCGATCTCGTCTTTTTCGAGGAAGACGGATCGGCGGGAAGCGAAAGGGAGGAAGAAGAGACGCGAGCTGCAGCGCGAGGGGAGGAGCGGAGGGGACCAGGATCTCATCAGGGTGAGCGCAGTTAGCAGCATCTGGCGTCGGAGGGAAAAGAAAAAGGCAAAGGGCTGCGAGAGAGAGAAGAGAAGGCTGCGGAGGCCGAGAAGCGTACAAACGTTCCTCCTAATGCGGAGGGGAAGAAAATGCGCGCACTTTCTCGGCGCGTTACACACTCTCGACACGCTGCTGCCAGAGAGGGAAAATCCGCAATGTAGGGCGGGATGACGAGAGAACGACTAGTACATTAGCCGCAGGGATGCGCCACCGAAAACCTCTCAAACTGTCGTCAGTGCGTAAATTTCGCTTTTTGCGACGCCGAAATGACAACCGGAAGTTATCTGACTGAATCTAATCTGTACGAAATTTCGCATATGTGTTCCACCCTCGGTTCCACCTAATATCTTTCGGATATATATGGAATTCTTGCTTGTATGATATCAGCTCACTTATATAATAATTCTTGGCGATCCCTCCTTGAGAAATTGCGATAAATGTTTCATACTTTTATGCCTAATGGTAGATTCTCGATTTGTTGCCAGATCTTTGTATGTAGCCCGTTCATAAATCTAATTGTGCCCTTTAAATACTACATGAAATTTTCGCTCAATACATGCTTCTATGCTCAATAATAGCATTCAATTCTCGACATTTGCTAGAAGAAGTATATCTACAAAGAGACATAATACAATAATAAAAACTTAGCAAATGAGGTTATTCGTGTCCGTCGGATATTCGGGGCTTCAGAGAAAGTATTCTTTTTGGGGGTGAAAAGGAATGGAACGACGAGTAACTTTTTTCTATGGCCAGCAAGGTTTCCTACAATTTGTCCGCAGGGTCCACGCATAAAGCACGGAGGGTGAAAGTCGCGAAACGATAACACACCCTTTCGCATTTCGATCGTCGGAAGATCACGCGCGCGCTGGGACGTCGTCGTCGCGAGGATTGGCTCGTTAATGTTATCGGTGCCTCGCGTGACGCGAGACATAGAGGCCGGTACTTTCTTGAATTTCGTTCGCTTTGTGCGCGGAAAATTTATAGCTGGTTCCCGATGTTGTCGCGTGTGGCCGGGGAGAATCACGGAAAGTACGAAGGAGGAAAGAGCGCTGGGACGAGAAAGCAACGAAGGCGATCTGGTTTGTTTTTCTTTTCTAGGGGCAAGAGAAAAGAAACCCACAAAAGCGGAAATTATTTCCGGTTACGTGATTTATGTACTCCTTTCTTTCTCTCTTGACACGCTTCTGGATCGTTATTAAATTGCGATGGTAGTTCTGTAGGAAATAAATAAATTAAAAGCGATATAAATAATTGCGCAACTCGCAAGGACACGAATTCGTCTAGCCTTCAAATTCAGAAATTGGCTTTGCCATCGTTAAACTATTTCCTGTTTCTTCTCATTTCTATCTGTTCACGTTTATCTATTCTCAGGAGAAATGTAAATCACTACAAATAAATTCTTTAGTACCAAGTGAATTCTTCCACTGCATTTTAAAGGTTAAAGAACTTGAAGAATTAATCGACATTTTTTGTTAAAACTAATAAATTATAATTGAATTACAGAATTGAATTGCCCGGAATATTATAATTAAATTATTCTATTTAACGCGAGCGAAGCGAAAATATATCTCGAGAATAATAAAATGTCACACATTAGCATAATTAAATGTATCGAAAAAACCTTATTGGTTGCAATAACAGATGGAATCAATCATTACCTTTTCTGGTAACGATCGATTCAATTTTCCTGCTCGTTACGGAAAGAGCGTGCTTTGTATCGAACTCCCTCGACTTGCTCTCGGTACGGGAGAAGAGTAATGGCCAGTGGAATTAGCTCGACGAAAACGAGAACGTATAACGGTTAGCACCTCGTGCGTTAGCGTTTCTTCTTCCGCGGTACCGCAGGGCGAGTGCACGACCCTTATTTATAACGAAATCCCGGGGTCGAGAAGCCGGATCGCTCTCTCGTGCCTTGTATATTAAACTATGCCAGCCCCTAGAAAAGGGGTATGAACATACGGACGGTTTCACCGCAAGGGTCACGAGCGAACGAGGAAATTATGTTGAATATGGCGAAACCTAGATTCGCCATTGATTCACATCTCATGATACATCCAACTCTTATTTAGTCTTCTTTTAACATTACTATGACAGACATGATGAACGAGCCGTCATAATACCGCGTTTGTAATCTTCCGGATGCTTTTGAATTCATAATTTTGCAGATGTCGAAAATAATTTTACGTTTTTAATTCTAATGAATAGCGAAGAGAGAGAATATAGAAATGTTATACATATTATATCTTATTATATATTCAATTTATTTTCGACGGATTAATTTAAATATAACATCTACTAAATTTCAATAATAATGTTTAATAAATTTATATAGTTATGGTAAACCACAAGGGTTTAAATCACCAGAAAGCCCTCTAAAAAGACGGAAAAATAGCTGGACATCAGTCTTCCAAGAAAACAAAAAAAAAGCACAGACCACAGGAAGAAGAAGAAGAAGAAATTTAGTTAATTCAATGATTAATTTTGTCTGTTATATTATGTTAATATTTTAAGTCTCATATTTTTTTTAGTATAATAAGTATATACGTACACATGTGCGAAATATTAATATCTTTATAAATACTTTCATTTTATGATTATATAATAAAAATGTAGTAACTATATTTTTATAACTAAATATTCTATTATAAGAGCAAGTTTTCCCCTAAATTTGGTTTTTTGGGGTAACGATCCAATATTAACAGAATACGTTGCCCGTCATAGGAGATAGTCCAAGGAGAGTGTTCAAGAGGAACAAACGGGCTATCGTTCGGTCGAACTAATTCTCGTATCTCTTTATTATCGCGGTCGTAACGCCGCCGCCCGTCATCGTCACGTAACGTTGTCGCGGACATTACCACGATCGCCGTTATCGTTATTGCACCCGCTGGTGCATCCTGCCGCGAGAACGGGACGCGCGCGCGCCTACGTGCCCAATTCCCAGTGCAATCCGTGTAACTGCGACATTTATTCACGAGACGACCGATGGAAGTGTCGGCCGGCCGGTATACACGCGTCCAATACGTATGGTGGTAGCGTCGTCGCCGTCGTCTAAATCATTGTTACGAAGGAGCGTGAAATTTTTTCGTCCACTTTAAGCACACTTACACTCCTGGTTGTATGACGCGATTTCTGCCATCAAACGTTCGTCGACACCAGTTTTATATACGATTCATATGGCGGTGCACGAATTTTGTAAGACTTGGTGCAATCTCGAAAATAATGTCTAACGACAAGAAAATATTCAATGAGATAGCGAATGAGAGTAAAAATTCTGCGCAGTAATTTGCTAAATTAATAAAGTAATTTGGATCGATCCTTCTTATAATAATGTTTTGACTGAATTCAAGCGAAATTCTTCTCTTTTGGTTTGCTTCCCTTCAAATATGATAGAAATGGTTTTATCTGCCGCATACGATGATTGGATTTCTCTTGCGGACATTACATACATAATTCAATTAGAATTTTGTAATTCGTTGATAATGAATTGTGAGTCGAAACGTTCAATTTAAAACGGATTAATGCAAATTACTTTGTTAATTTAGCGTACAAATTACCGCGCAGAATTTTTACTCTCATTCGCTCTTATCGAATATTTTCTTATCGTTTAAATTTCGAGAATCCAATTATTTGTCATTAACTTTTTATTATTAATGTCTAATAATGACGCAATGTGGATTGCTTAAATTCCGAAAAAAATGTATATGTACTCTACTTAGTTTTAAGTGACGTATTTTTCTTTTCATCGTGATATATTTTGG